ATGGATTGCTTTGCTAGTGTTGTGCTCTAGATATCAAGAAAATCCTAAAGATATGTAGAAATACTACTCTCTAATTTTTCCCTAGAGGACATATTCTCTGTACAACTTTCTAATTTGTGTCTCCTCAAGTCAGACAGCATTACTCAAACAAGGATTAATTAGAAACTTGACATAAAACATACGGATAAAAAAGGTGGCAAAAACATTTGGTCTTTTTAAGGGTTTCAGAATGCTTTCCTTGATCATAATTATCCAGATTAAGAAATGTACTTTTGCCTGTACTAATCAGCAACAATTGCCCACAAACGATTGTGAAAAAAATGTCCAAATATTCCAAAAGAAAAAAAAAAACCCAAACATATTAGAATGGATCTGTTCATTTAAAATGAATCTAACATGCTCATATGTACAATAGTACAACATGAAAAGGAGAATTTGCATAATCTCAAGGTGTTTTTTTTATTATTTATTGTATTATTATTCCATTTCCCATTAACTGAATCCCAGTATAGTATCTTGATTTCTTAGAGAGGGGTAAATATTTTGGATCTCACAAAATAGTGCATTGCTACTGAGGAAGAAGACTGACATAAATTAAAGAGATGCTCTCCTCGGAAAGTGTCTGAAAACCTGCTAGGGAGGGAATAAATGTCCAGAGAGTCCCAGCACAAACTAGTTAAATGTCCTTGTGGAGCACTTTTATTTTCTGACTGAATACAGAATAAACAGAGCATCCACTTTTTTTCAACTATATTTTGTCACATTTTGCCTAACTGAATTTATTGACATTTATTGACAATTTCCCCCCAGATTGGTGAGTTAAATACAAAGCTAGAATTGTAGTTGAAAGAAGTCATGGCTAAATGAAAAGAAAATGCTAACTTTAACAAAAATTAAGAAGCAGAACTTTCTGTAATTGTTTTAGATATGCAATCATAAGATGTGTCTATGGCATATTTTGATTTTAAGAACTACTTTAACAAACTTCTTCAGTGGGGAAAAGTCTACAATAAATACATAGCCAGAAGGTATTTTTACAAGTAACTAGCAAACTCGCTGAAAAATAATGCAGGAATGATTTGGAATTTGGATTTTTCAGGTTTTAGGGATTCTTTCCTTGTATCTATTGCTACCAACTACTAGTTATAGTAACAGTAACAGCTAAGAGGTGAGTAATCTGAAGGTTAATGAAGCCTGAATTTGCCATCATGGTTCTGTAGTACCTAGCTCCTGCTGATGAGCACCTACAGCCTCCAAGTTTACACGTGCTCTAATCTGACTATCTCTGTTGTTTCTTAACACTGTGCTACCTCTCTTACAGGTTCATTATCTCATGGTCTTGTCTGCCAACTGGGCCTATGTGAAAGATGCTTGCAGAATGCAAAAATATGAGGATATTAAATCAAAGGAGGAACAAGAGCTGCATGATATTCATTCTACTCGCTCTAAAGAGCGGCTCAATGCTTATACATAAAAGAAACCTTGTCTTACTTCCTAACATGTGAATGCTTTGTTGTTTAACTAAAGGCCATCCTACCATTTTAAAAACAAATGAAAGTGCTTCTCACAAAAGATAGTTTGGGTGACTTACATATCACCTACATACAATTCTTGGTTGTCTAGCACTTGGTTTCCTAATTAGTTCTTACTTTGTGTGACCATTCTATACCACAAAGCTCCTAAATAGCCTTTCCTGAATCCCCTTAGGCGAATTAGTTCTGATAGGTCAAGGATACTAAACTATTGTCAAATACAACTATGTGTTTGATTTTTTTAATCACTTTGTATGTGTTATGCATAACACCTTTTGCATTGTTTCTTATATGTTTTTGGAAAAAAAGTAGCTTTTTATACTTTTTAGTTTTGAGTTCAGTAACTACTTTAACTACAGGTATACTTCAAAGGGACCATTGTACATGATGTACAATATATAAAGAAAACATTCTGATGACTTTCCTTTATATATGGAAAACCTGCCAGAGGGACCCTGATCAACTTGAATGAAGGTCCTAAGAACGTTTTAAACAATCAAAGGTGCAATTTCTAAATTTGTAATAGTGGGTAAAAAAATAAAAAAAAAGCGAAAAAGGAAAAAAAAAGAAAAAAAAGAAAAAAGTGCTTCTTATCTTTGTTAACATTGTATTATTGATGTTTTTAAAGAATATTCTCTTGTTTCAAGTTCCATGGGTGGTAATTCCTGTTTGTATTGTGAGCATGCAGTCCGTGGTGCTAACAATGCATGGCCACTTGCCTTTTGAAGGAATTCAATACCACGGCTACCTGTTAACGATTTATGGTATATAGACAACTGTTAATTAAGTGATATAGTTATTCATAGTTTTCTACAGAATAATCTCTCTTTAATTCAATGATGGTTATGCTAAATTGGAGCTGTCCATGTGATGATGTAAGAAATTACTGCTTAGCTACATTTATGAAAGTAATATATCAAAAATGCAGTGACCATAGGAGTCAGATGTCTTTTTACCTGCTTTAAAAATTTAAATGGATTGCACCTGTCTGAACTGTAAAAGATATATTAAAGGAGACTTCCATAAATGTTATAGCTTGGCTTCTAGCTTTCCTACACATAATGGTTTACCTGTATTACGTTGAAGTAAGGTGAAAGACCACTACAGAGCTTATTATTTCAAAGTGTAGTAATATATTTGAACCTTTATTTTGATATGAAAGTGTTATCAGAATGATAGGTCATCTTAATTTGAAAGAATTACCTGTATCAAAAACAGAACAAAAAACCCTATTTAAGAAAAGTCGGTATTATTGGACCAAATTTGGTGGATTTTTTTTTTTTTGCCTATTTCTAATGCTACAAGAATGCTGTAAAGTGTCTTTTAAAGTGATGTAGCCTGACAAGACATTTTTGTCAGTGTTAAAAACCTTAGGTAGTTTTGTGCACTTATTGGACCATTGTGAATTCTCTCTCAGTGTAAGTGCATTTCTAATAAAACTTCTTGAGTAAAACTCTTCTTTGTACTATTACTAGTCATGCATCATCAGTAATTTTTAACAATTCTTGTAGTAAGTAGAAGGTAATACTATAGTTACTTGTGGCATGATAATGCATTAAATAGTATTAGTTGGTTGAGTTCTTTTTCTTTTTCTTTTCTTTTGCTTGTTTTGGGGTTTTTTTGTTGTGTTTTTGATTTGGGGTTTTGGTTTTGGTTTGGACTTTTTTTTTACACTTAAGCTGTCCTACGGGGTCAACAGTTTTCTGATAATGTGCAGTACCGGTATTACAGTTCTGCAAAAAGTATTAGGAACCTCTTTTTGGACTCTATATTGTAGTGTTTCAGTTTTGTGTCTTAAAATGTTTGTGCTGATTTTTAAAACTATGTCTTTTAAACTCATGTAATGATGTTAATGCTTTTGGCTCTTCTCTGGTATTAGAGTTTGTATTTTCACAAAGAATGCTTTGTAGCAGGCATTACAATTAATCTGTTTTGTACATAAATGTGCCAACAGCTTGATGGTGGCGTTTTTGAAATGTAGAACAAAGTGCTTGCAAAATGTAATAAACACACTTGTGTACTTTGTGTTCTTGTTAATTCTTTGTGTAGTTTTTCTTTGCCTATACTGGACAGGTCACTTTAACCAGAAATGGAAGAAGCTTGATTCTCCTACAGACCTTACTATTGCACAGACTGCTTTAAATATGTCTCCTAATCAGCACTTAGTTCCAGAAATCATACATCTTAAGACTAAGAGAGTAAAATGTTTTCTAAGAGCAGAGTTTCATAGTCTAGGAAGTGCCAGGTAGCAGAAGCCATGCTTGCTGTATTTTTAACATATCAGTCAAAAGAAAAATTGGGAAAGATTCCCATTACTATAGTGTCATTTGGAACAGCTGAGTAGGAACTTGTCTGACAGCAGTTTGAATATTGCTGAGGATAGTGATACCATACCGTGGTAGCAGTAATACTTTGAAACCTTAGTAACAATACTACATTACTTACATGCATGTAAAGTAGTTTAAATGCCTAAGAGAGATCTATAGCTGTGCCAACTAACCTGGTATCACAAAGGAAATTATTTAAAATACAGTTACACAATGTGCTTGTTTCTCAGTTAAACAGCTGTTGTGGAGCTCTTTGTGTGCTCTTGATGAGGACTTGTGTCAGGATGGCAGAAGCAGCACAAGCCAAGGGAGTAGACGAGCTTCCCACAGCACAGCACATCAGTCATAAGTGATTCACTTCAAAGTCTGAGCATATTTGGTTTATTCCAGAGACTTCTCTGTTTGTTGACTGCCTAAGCCGATTTTTTCTGAGTTAGGCTGCAAGGATCTTGCCTTCTATAAACACTTCTGTGCTCAGTCTAAACTTGTGCCTATTGTGCTTTTAAGAAACAAGAAAAACCTTGGAGGTTAATCTGTTTGGGGCAGGTTTTTGCTGGACAAAAGGCTGCAGTTAAACAAAAAAATTCTGTTTAAGAGGCTGGAATCCTCTTAGATACTCAATTTTGCACGTTCATCACAGCTTACTATGCCCCATAAAAACTATTAATAGCATGTTACAAAACAGATTGAAAATTTTAGATAGACATCCTTCCCAGACTCTGTCTCCCACTCAGATCACCCTCTATTCTTTTGCACAAGATTATTTTATCCATCAGCAAGACTGTTTCCCTCAGCAGCAGTGTTTCTGCTTTGAGTACAAGCAGATAAAGCATTGAATCAGCGTGATTTAGGCAATGCACAGCAGTGCACAGCAGATGTGGGGCTCAGTGTTCACACCTTGGTAGAGAGAATGGCAATTTTTAAGCCAATACACCATACAGTTTGGTGATGTAGTTAAAACGGGAGATTATACTGAAATTATATGCCTAGTTAATACTTCAAAGTAGCTAATTATATTTTTTTCCCAGAGGACCTAAAGTAATAGGATTTCAAATATAACTGGAAATATATATATATAAATGAATTTAAAATTATATATGCAACTTTTAGTCCTATATTAATGCAATTATTTAAATTGTAATATGTATGCATTGATTTTAAGTACTTATTGAACATTACCATGATTGCAACTCACTTTCAGTTGATAGTATATATTTTAAGACAGAATATGTCTGTACTGTACTTCCTATAATAGTCAAAGGAAACAGTTTATAGAGTCTTTTCCATCATCAAGATCCAGTGCATTTTTAAAATTTTCACTTCTGGGTTACCAGAAGTATTTATGTAGCTGATTTTCTGAAGAGCACAGCTTAGTTTATAAAACATAAGGAATCAAACTATAGCAAATTTCATCTCAATAGGAAAGGGTGTGTTTATCTAAGCTCTCTCTTAAAAAATCCCAACATTTTATTTTCCATTTTATTGGGTTGCACAGAAACCTCACATATACTCTTAAGCAGCACATCAATTTATGTCTCACATTTCAGCACTGCCTCCATTTTGGGTAGATATCAATTGGAAAGAACAAGTTCAAAGCACACAGAGTCTTTACCAGCTCTTTCTGGCCCACACGAATTCTTCTAACTTGTATTTTCTACAAGGGAGGAATTGCAACAGTTTCTGAATTTTGCGATTTTCAACTATAGTTTCTTGTTCTTTCAGGTGTCTGCAGAGGATCCCAACCCATCACAGAGCTGCTTCTGTGTTTAACAGTTACTAGCAGTGATGGAGGCAGGTAAGTGTTTCTGCTGGCACACCAACAGAGATGGTGACTGGTAGAGAAGTGGATCATCTTTGGCTTGCAGTTGCCAAATTTGCAGCTGCTCTGCAGGGAGAAATTTATCTAAAAAAAAGGTTCTGCCCACAAGCTGCTGTGGACTCTTTCCTTCCCTGTGTAAAGTGGAGTTTGGTCAGATAAATGTGAGCTCCAGGGAAGATCATTTCTGTTGGTCTTTGATTTGGCACTGCTGAGCTTCCCACGTTTGAAAGGGGTGGTTGGGACAGGTGCATCTACTTTAGGAGTTATTAAAAAACAAAACAAAACTAAAATCCCAAAAGATTGGCATGAATATCCTATGGTTTTACATGTTGAGTTACTCAAGACAGAAATACTGTGTAGGCCGGAGAAAGAAATTATCAGAGCTAGGTTTTTCCAAGCATCTGAATATCTTCTTCTTCTCAGTTGCCCAGAAAAATTATACTTAGCATGAATCCCTTTCCTGGGGTTAATAGAGAATATTTTGGTGTCTGAGACTGTATTTTATTAAATAGCTTTGGTCACGTGTATTTCTTTGTAAGGATAAATATTAATTTTAGAACAAATCTCATGGGGAAACAAATTTATCCTCAACAAATTAATGTCCCTGTTAAAGCATGCAAATCAATTCCTGGAATTTTACAATTCAGCTAGTTTAGTTGCATGTACAGTGACATTATGGAATAATAAGCTAAATCACAGGGTTAAACGCAGAGCAAAAGTGTCATGTTCGTCAGTTGCCTGGTTTGAACTGACTAAGCAGACAGAAACCTTTCCCAAGAAGAGAGTGTTGGATGCCTCATATTGGTGCCTTTTTCTGAAGTATGAAACATGTTAAGCACAGATACCTCATTAAGGTGTTTAATTCATATTTCTGCTTTCCTTTCACTATTTGCTTCTCCATGACATTGGTGTTCCTTATGCCCTGATTTGAATTGGAAGTGAATCAACATAAAACTTGCTTCTACTGAGCAGGTGACGTATCAATGCCACTGAGCAGTGATGTACCACATGCTTGGAAACAGGGATGAGAACAGTGAAAAAGGAAGGCAGAAAAATAGAAATATAAGATTTTCTTTTACTTGTAAGCTCCAGCTGCAAGGTAATACCTGGTTTTGGGACCTGTGCCTCGTTATATACAGGTATGCCTTGCAGGACTAGGGCTTTAGGAGGAGTGAGAGTTTCTAACAAAGGTCAAATGCTACTTGAAACATGGAGATTTTGGACAGTCTAAAGCCATGTTTCTCTTGAAAGGAACAGATGGCCCAGAGAAACTTGTAAACCTTTAATTGTCACAGCAGGATCTCAGGATCTCTTCCCAGCATGAGTAACATGGTGGCAGAGCTGATGTGTCTCATGTGCAACTGCACGTAGCTATGGAGTAGAGCTTGTATCACTTAAAGCAGTTCAGGGATGATGCAGAAGAGGACCTCTGCTGCAGTCATTGTCCTGGCTCCATTGCAGCAAGGTTGTTTTCACTAACACAAGGAAGAAAAGTAAGGATTTGAGGGTGATCAGTCTGGAAAATCTGATTTTTGCATGTGAGACATGCCAAGTGTTTTTGCAATGTGATAATTAGTGTTAAATGCTTGCATTTTTCATATATTTTAAATATACACACATACATACAATACATTGTCCAATAAATTGATTTTTAATGAACTTCTGTGCTACAGTAATAATAATGACAGCCTTAACAAAAAATAGTAAACTCAATGATTAGGTGAAAATTTTCATGCAAGAAATGGCATTAATTTTACTCTACCACAGTTATCAGATACTTTGATCATATATGACCATATATATCAGATACTAAGATCATATATGGAGATAATAACAGCTTTGACTTTTCTTCATGAGCTCATTCAGCTTGTTTTACTTCCCGATAGTAGCAGGCTTCTGGCCTTCAGAGTGTTTTTTTTTTTCCCTACAGAAATGTTAAGCCTAACTCTCAGCATTTAACATGTGGAAATACATGCATGAGCAGATATTTCCCCCTGCCTTTCTTCAGCAAGCTCAGTACTGTTCTTTCTCTCACTGCACAGCCTCCAGAGTGTATGCACAGGTGCTGTGCCTTCATGCTTGCCTTTCCCTAACCCTTTTCCCAGCAATCCCTTCAAAATCACTGCCCCTGAGCAATCAAGTGCTGGGCCTGGCTTCCTCCTTCATCTCTGCCAGCCTGCTTTGCTGCAGCTGCAAGTGGCTGAGACTGGCATTAGGGTTAATCTCACCTGGCTCGGATCAAACGGGATGCTGAGCCCGGCCAAGCCCCGATGCCCCTTCATCCTGCTCCTCCTGGCACATTCTCAACCTCATTATCCAAATGGGAGGTACCCTGTCAGGAACTGTGGAGAGGATGTTCACTAGGGAGACAAACCAGAGCTCCTGAAAGAAATTGCTATAATTTTTCAGTATTCCTAATGTAAAGGGAAAACCAGGAAGTGGGGGAATATTTGTATGCATCATGTTCCTGTAAATCCTAGGCAAATTTTTGTTATGCAATACTTTTCAATTGATATTCAAGATTTATTGTTGTTCTTCTTTAAGATCAAACAAAATTGTAAATAGCAATATTAGACAAAGTAACATATATTATATAACATATATATTAGACAAAAAATTTCCTAAATTGTGAGGAGTGTTCATATCCATTAAGCTCACAAAAAAAATTTAAAAGCAATAAGGTGAGTTCATACCATAATTTATGAGGTATAATTAAGTGAACTGTAGGAGGTGATAATCCTAAGGAACAATGTTGATTAAAAGAAGAGATTAAAAGTATGTCCTTTTTAAAGTACAAGACCAACTAACAGTACTCAGAAATGTTTTGGTAATTTGTGTATGATGCAAAATTTTTGCAATTTGCCAATTAATACATGGATTCATATATCCATTGGTACTTAATTTTCTTAAATTATTATAGAAGGACACGTGCATTGAAGGAGCCATTGAACTGTGAAAGTCATCCTCACTTACCAAAGGCTTTCCTGTGTGCCATGGGGAGCAGTAAGAGTTTGTTATCTGCATTAATCTCTTTAACTGGATTAAATTCTTGAGAACAAAATCCACTCGGTTCCTGGACTAGTACATGGGCCAGATCTGTCGAACAGGTATTTATGAACAGACATGCAGACAATTTGACTATGTTCCAGAAGATTAGAGCCGAACTCTGTGTCACAGGTTTTCCCAGGAGGCTGAGAAGACTGCTCCACTTTCTAGGGTCACAGTCCTTCTAACAGTTCCATGGTTTATCTTCTTTAATTCAAATAGAAAAAAAAAAAAAAGATGAAAAAATTATAGAAAGCAGAATGGAAACAAATCTGTGTTTGAGCCAGCATTGTTTTGGCCACTGCTTGTGGGGTTTTTGATTGATATTAGGCAGGGGCAACATAATCTATTGCTACATTTCAATTTGATTAAAGTTTCAGAGATTATTTTTACTTTTTCTATGTTTCCATTTTGGCACTTGCAGTCCTGACTTCATATACTTGCAGGTGTCCTAACTTAATTTCTTCTATGTAGCATGCAGAGAGAATTTTTCATTAGCATTCAATTTGTTTGATAATTTAAAATGTGGTCATTTAAAAATTATTTTTCATTATTTTTTAATCCTTTGTTTCAATACGAATTTTTGAAAACACAATCTTTTCAGCTCTATTTCTTTCCAGGAATTTGTTCAGACTGAGAAATCTAAGTAGAGTAACTTGAAGTACTTATCCTTTCTTTTTGAAGTGCTATAAGTTTCAAAACTCCTTAAGCTCAAAGCAAATCCTTCTTGTATCAAAACAATTAAATTTAAAAAAAGAAGGAATCAAGTACTAGTGCTGTGGTGACACTGAAATTGGGTATTATACATACTTTTTAATCCTAAATTGCATGTCAAGATGTGCTACAAATAACTGCAAGCAATCTTCCTATGAAATTCTGGCATTCAAGTTTGTTTTTGATGACCAGGCCCTCTGAGGGCATGATCACACCTCTCTAATACAATTTAAATAAACATCAGTGAAAATCCTGAAGGAGGAAGCTTTTTTTTTTTTTTTGGTGCCTGCATGACAGAGCTGAGTGTTCTATTCATAGTCACAATTGTGGATAAATTGAAAGCAAGCTGATTTTCTTGCTTATTCCTCATTAAATATGATGAATCTTTACATCTTTACATTAAATATGAGGTATCTTTATATACAAATACCGCCACCATCCCCCAAAACACAACGCAAAGAGATTATTCACATAAGGTTTTAATTTGTAGCTTTTAATGACGGTGAGGAAAATGGTTAAAGGGGATGACGACATGTTCTGTCTAACACTGATAGGCGTAGAGTACTGACATCTGGCGGTAAAGCTATGTAGAACAGAAGAATGTGGCTAATAAGTCCATTTGAGACGGTCTGATTTCAAATAACAGCTTTCATAAGACCAATCTGGTTCTTTTCTACTTCTGTATATTTAGAAATTATTCTGTAGCATAGCTTAAAAGCATTCAAACACTCTGTCTTTGTACATATATAAATATATATATAGAAATAGATTCAGCCCTTAAATATCTGTCACAATTGGGAGTGAATTAACAGCAAGTGAATAACTGAAGAATTGCAGTGGGGAACCTGACATTTTAGCATTGCTCATTATTCTAAAGGAATTTTTTAATCTTTAGCAGAGTTTCCCACCTACTTTAGAAATGGCATTTGTACATAATTATCATTGCAAGATAGTAGTGTGACTCACCACACCATCACTCCCCACTTCAAATGACACTCATAGTACAACAAATTATTTTGCATATTTCAGGTAAAATTTATGAATATGCTATTTATGATGCTGACTTACCTTACCTGGCGGGAAAAGAGGGATGCTAGCCTTTTAGAAATACTTGTCACTTTTTAGAATCAATATTTTTAATATAGCTATTGCTTTTAATTAAAGATTAATTAATCTTTAATTTTTAATTAAACTACTGATTGGTGAAATTAAGTAGT